CCTTTAATATGTCAATTGTATTTATTGTTCTTATAAATTATTAAAGTTATTTACTTGTCTAAATTATAAAGTTAGATTTGATTATAGTAGAACTTATTCTATAATAATTTAGTAGATAATTTACCATTACTTCCTATTTTTAAGTTATTATTATTCTAAATTTGATAGATTGAATGTAAAATTAATAATGTATTTATTACAAATTGTACTATATCTCAAATAATCTCATACTATAGCAAATATTATAAAAGTGATATATATTAAATATATAATACATATATTATTCAATTTATTTTATAATACATATATTAAATAATTTACTTTTCATTATATATATTATAATTTTCTTATTATTATTTATATTATATTATCTAGTTTTCATTATATATATCATTTATAATTATCAAAAAATATAATATAGTACTAATTAATAATTTTATATAAATAGACTTATAAGTTAATCTTGAGTTAACAGATTTTGATCAAATAGTTTTCTGAATAAGTCTTAAAACTAAATTATAATTTTATAAATTAATTAAGTTATTATTTTACACTTTTAATCTTCTTTTTTTTATTTAAAACTTAATCATAATAATCTACTACAAATGTAAATTATAATAATAAATTATTTTGATTGATAATTATTTATTTCTCTTAGAAAAGGCTTTTGAAATAATTATAATATTAAGTTATTTAGTTTATTAGCTTAGTTTTAAAATAATTTTAAATTTAATAGTTTAATGATTTCTGCCAATAGAAAGACTTTTAAAAATTCTAAATTGTATAAATTTGGATTTATAATTATAAGCTTCAAGAAGCATATGGATTAATTGCTAGAAAAATCAGATTCTGGGAATTTTTTAACAAAATTGAGATTTTTATTGCATTTTAGTTTTTGATATTATTAGATTAAAATGTATTAAGTTCTTAATTTAAGTGAAAAATTTCTCAGAACCTGATTTTCCTAGAAACCCTCCTATATATTAAATAACTATACATAAAACTGAAATTAAAATGGGACCTTTGCAATAGAAAGGGGGGAAACTGCCAGAAAAAATCAATTTTACTTTTATATGTCAAATATGATTTTTAAGTTAAAATATGTTCAGATTTAGCATTAACTCAATTTTTATTTTTTCTAGCCGTTTTCTCCTTTTCTATTGCAAAGGTCCCAAATGATTAAAATAATTATGATAGTCAAAATGGTTAAATTAATTTTGACTATTTGTTAAAAAATTTGAAAAATCAAAATCAATTATAATAATTAAAAACAATCATAATACTTGAAATCAATTATAATATTCAAAAAGTTAATAATTATTATTTATTTATTAATTTAAATTATTAATTATAAATTTCATTAAAAAATGATTTTTTTAAATAATAAACTATAGAAAACCTATTCTTTAGTATATTTAAGTTAAAATATTTTAAAAGAGTAGATCTTAATAAAATTATAAAATTATATTTAACTTCTACTATAATATCTATTTCAATTAAAATTAAATCTCTCCTTTAAAATTTCTAAATACTACTATTACACAAAAAGCATATTTATAATCATTATTATTTTTATGAGGATATGTAACTCCTTATCTTACTAAATTTAATTTATCATCTTCTCAGATATACTTATATTTATAGAAATTTTTTAAAAAATGATAAATTTGTTTTAATACTAAAAAATCGATATTAATATTATTATATAATTCAGAAAAATTAATTTTAATTAAACTTCTAATTAAAAATTCTAAATTAATAAATAATTAATAGAAATAATGTATCATTTAAATAAAAATAAAATTCAAATATTTTTTCAGATTTTAATATATATTAAAAATGTATTTTCTTATATATACTATTATATTAAATTCGATATTATCATTAAAAAAATTATATAGATTCTTACTTTTTTTTTAATTTATTTAAAATTAAAAGAATGATCTTGTATATAATTATATATAAATTTGACTACATGACAATGTTTTTCTTCAAGTATAGGTAATATATATTTATTATATTCTTGTATTATCATATAACCTCCATATATCAAATAAGTATAACAGAATTTTTTTTTGAAAAAGAAATTTTTAATTATATTTTTAAAATTATTCATCATATAATTCAATTTTAAATTAAGTTTTTTAAATAATTCATTTCTTTTATCTAAAAAGAAACTTTTTTATCAAAAAAGTTTTTTATAATTAAACCTAATACATACAATTCATTATTTATTAATGGTAAATAAAACAATTTTTTGAATTATTTATTTTAAATTAATTATTATTTGGATACTTATTAATATTTTGATTATAATTTTTAATTAAATTTTGTAAATTTTGTATATTATTTTTAACGTTTAAGAGAATTACATAATTTATATCTAATTCTTTAACTTTTTGATTATATTTTTTTAATACTTTTTGATCATTTTTATTCATAAAAATAGATACTGAAGTAGAGATAGGAGTAGATATCAAAGCAGAAGTAGAAGTAGAAGCTAAGGTAGAGAAAGTAGTAAAGGTAAAAATAAAAATAAAAATAAAAAGTTTATTTAATTATCATTTTGATATGAAGATATTATTTTCATTTGTTTGTTAAGTAAAAGTTTTATTAAAAGGTATAAATAATTTGAAATTGCTCTAGCTTTTATAAAAGCTAAAAAGAATTTATTTTTTTTAATTCCAATTAATTAAGTAGTCATAATATTTGTTTTTTTTTTGAAAAATTTGTTTAAAAAAAACAATACAAAAAAATAGCTTTATCTCACTATAAATTGTATTAAGAAAAAAATAAATACAAAATTTAGTTTTATCTTGCTAAAAATTGCACCTATTTATAGAAAAAGAGAGTTTACATAAGAGAAATAATCTGATCTTAAAACTATGTAAATATTATTCCTATATTTTAAGCTCTATTCAAATAGAATAAATAAATTTATGATTTATGATTAAAAGTTCTTTAAATAAAATTTTTTTGTATAATTGATTTTATTATTTTAGTATAATAATTAATAAATTATATTCTGACAATCTGAAATTCTACAAAAAAAAATTATTTGATATTTTGATAACTTATAAATGCTCTTACTAATCAAATTCTAAAAAAAAATGATCTTACAATATTATGATAGCCCCAAAAATGTTCTACTAATCTGATTATTAGATTATTAATTAAATTAATTAAATAAATTCATAATATTATAGCTATTCAATTTATTAATTTATTTTTCTTTTTATAGGTAGTTTTTGGTTTTTTGGTAAGCAATTAGTTTAATTTTTTTATTTTTCTATTTTATTCTTTTTGTTTCTTAAAGATTCTAATATTTCTATTCTCATTAATTCACTTTTCTTTTTATAGATAATCTTCAATTAGTTTAATTTTTTCATTTTTCTATTTTATTCTTTTCATTTCTTTAAAAAATTTTAACATAATTCCTTTTTAGTATTATTTAACTCTTTTAACCTGATTCTTAAAAATTATTTCAAGCCTTAAATTCAGATAGTTCTATTTGAAGGTTTTATTAAGTTTTTAGCCTAAGTAGAGGAACTGATCAAATCTAAAAAAAATAAATAAATTAAAATATTAAAAAAATATATATATATATTAATTTGTATATAAAAAAAAAGGAAAAAAATATTGGCTTACCTTTACTATGATGATGAATCAGATGGCTCTATTCAAAGATTTCATTTAGATCTTAACTTAATTAAAGGAATTGATTAAATCTAAAAAAAAATAAAAAATTAAAATATTAAAATATATATATATATATTAATAAGGATAAAAAAAAAGGAAAAAATATCAGCTTACCTTTATTGCAGTGATAAATCAGATGATTCCATTTGAAGATTCTGTCTGAATTTGAGATAAATAAGAGATATTGTGTAGCTTTCTTTTTAGTTAGAAATGTTTTGCTAATCATTTCTTTTTTTATTTTTTAGTATGTCAGACTTGAGTACTAGAATGGATGACTTGAGTGTCTTTCTATTAGTTAGAAATATTTTACTAATATTTCTTTCTTTATTTTTTAGAATGCTGGACTGAATTTAGGATAAATAAGAGTATAGGGTAAATTGGTATCTTTTTTTTAGTAAAAAATATTACTAACGTTTCTTTTTTCTTTTTATAGATTAGTTTCTTTATTTTTTAAGATGTCAGATCAGATTTAGGATAAATAAAGGTAAATGAAAGTAAATGAGCATCTTTCTTTTAGTTGAAAACGTTATTACCATTTTTTTTTCTTTTTGTAGGTTAGTTTCTTTATTTTTTTAGGATGCCAGGGTAAATAAACGTCTTTTTTTAGTTAGAAATATTACTAATATTTTTTTCTTCTTTTATAAGTTAGTTTTTTTATTTCTTTAGAATATCAGATTAGACTTGAGGTAAATAAGGGTAAATGAGCATCTTTCTTTTAGTTAAAAACATTATTAATATTTTTTTTTCTTTTTGTAGATTAGTTTTTTTATTTTTTTAGAATATTGAACAGACTTAATATAAATAGGGGTGAATGGAGATAAATAGGCATCTTTCTTTTAATTAGAAACATTACTAACATTTCTTTTATTTTTTTTTATAGGTTGATTTCTTTATTTTTTTAGGATGCTGGACTGAATTTAAGGTTTTTAATATAGGTGTAGATGGTGAAGGATATGAAGAAATATTATCAGATATTCTATGAATATCAGACAATGATGAATAAAAAATGTAATTAAAGCTCTAATAATTGCTGGTGGACATTTTTGAAACTATCTTCTTTTAATTGAAATATATAAAAAATTAGTAAAGCTGAAAAAATGAAAAAAAAAATGATAAAAGTAAAAAAGCAAAGCTTATTAATTTCACCTTGATTTTCGGGTAATAATCCAAGACATTTAACACATTGAGGAAAAATTTTTACAAGATATTGTTTCTTTATTAATTCAAAATGAAACTTTGCAGCAGCTAATGCCGCATCAATTTCATTCCTATAGCAATCCCATTATCAGGTTCAATACTTTCTATTGCAGAAATTCATAATTCTTTGATGGTGGTATTGGTCCAGCTGCAATATGAGCTAATCTAACTAGATTACCTACATTTACTTGAATTAAATTTATCACATCATTAAATGTCGATGAATGTGGATTTGGAAATAAAGGACCCCAATGGTCACCTGGAAAAATGGATTGATATTACATCAACAAAAATATTTGTCCTAAAATATATCTCGAACTTCATATTTACCTCGTATTAATTTTGTCCTAGAGCAGTAGGATATGACTTTTTCTCATATATTGTCCTTTGAGTTACACGATTCTTCGCCTATATTCTTCATTTGATCATATAAAAATAAATCTAATGAAATGGCATTTGTATATAAGTACATGCATTCATCTAATTCTATTGTTTGATCATTTATCCATAATGACAAAAGCTGAAATCCTTGTTTTCGAACTCGAGGATGATTTTCATGATCAAGTAAAACTGACAATATTTCAGCTTATTTATTTTTTTTTTTTAAAAAATAAAAAGTCAGACATGAATGCTAAAATAGGAACTTTCAACAAAAAATTTTTTTTCATAATAATTATAATAATAATAATAATTTATACCTATTTGTTTTCTTTGCCATCCAACCCTTATTTATCAGACAAAAATAAAAATATTTTACGTAATAAAAGTAAAATCTTGTTTAAATTTAAAAATTTTTTTGATGTAAAAGGCGCGGATCTATCCGGTTTCTCTATTTATAATTCAATATTTAATACATTATTTTTTTTTTTTTATATATTTTTTTATATTCATATTTAAAATAAAATAAAAATTCTCACGTTTTAAATTATCCACTTGACTCATAACTGAACTATAAACTACATCGAATACGTCTCCAAGATTTTGTTAAAAATTGTGCCCGATCCCATTCATTCGCAACATCTTATAAAAATAATAGATGTTTATAATAAGCAAGAACAATATTTCAGTAAATAAAATTTAATAAACAAATAAACAAATTTCATATATTATTTGA